TTTTCTTATCGTTTGTATATATAAAAAAAGTAATAGTCATGCGACTATTATATGAAAGATAATATTCAGTATTTAACACGTTTGAAATGATTTTATTTTCCAAAGGGTTCTCTTGTATATACATTCTCTTTCTCTCTCTTTTACCCAATAGTTTACAAAATAGGGGTTGAAAATCAGGTCGCGGGCTGAACGTGAATCAACCAACACACGCGATTATCGTTTCGTCAAATATTTACACTTAAATCAGTTTAATATACGATTCTCTGGCATAATAAACGGCTAAAATTGTTGAATAATTTTACCATTTAGAGTTATAAATGGTACATCAATTTTGTTTATAGTTTAATAAATGTTTCCCCTATCTCCTATACCTCCCACTACCACCACCATCATCATCATCATCATCTTCATTATTATCAGACATGTGCTTGCTATTTTCGATGAGAAATTTAGCAATCAGTTAAATGAACAAACGATATTAACGTAACAGACTAACTAACTAATTAACTAACTAACAGGTTGCATTTTATATTTATCGGAGAATCATTTTCTTCACCCCCAGTCCCACCCCTTCTTCCACCCACCCGATTGTGAAACAATTGTAATTCACGAAAATACTAAAACATTTTACCATTTTTGTTTATAGTAAAGTTGAATAATATTGTTAACAATCTGGAATCGTATTTTACGAAGTTATGACAGTTTTTATTTTACGAGTATATTTTAAAATTTTGTGTTTCTTTTTTTTTTATTATTGTTTTATATTTCCCAAGTTAGAAAGAAAAAAACTTATTCGCTGGATAGTTTATAGTCGGACAATCTTGTCGAGAGAGAAAGGGAAAGAGAAAAACTTTCAACTTTCAACCTTTTTCTCTTTCCATTTTTTTTAAGTACGCGCACGAGAAAAGATGAAAGATAAGATAAGATGTATAAGAAGATGGAATAGAATTCCTTGAATCTGAATATTTACATTTATATTTTTTAACCGATTCAACATTTATTATAAAATCGTGAAAGAATGTGAGATGCAAATTTACAATAAAAAAAAGAAAAAAAGGGAAAGAGATAGAAAAATAATTAACTGTCGTGTGTGTTTTGGAATTTTACCAAAAAAAATTAGTATCTAAATATGAAAGAAAAGAAAAATAAAAATGACCAGTCAATAAAATTTCACGTTTATAAGATTGATCCTTATTATTCTCTCGAAGGGCTAATTTTAGGATTAACTTTCGACCCTTCCTTATATTTCTATCTTTCTTTATCTCATATATTTTTTCTCTTTCTTTCTCTAATTAAAGTTTTTTCTTTTCTTTTTATTAGAATGAAAACTACTGACGTAAAAAGAGAAACAGAGATAGAAACGCAATATATATATATATATATAGAAATGGTGCCTAACGGAAGAGGTAGGAAAGGGATGGTAGTAGGGATTGTGAAGGGCTCAAAGGATCTGAAGAGTCTTTAGGGGTTGAAACGAGTTAATCGCTGGCCGGAAACGCGAGGAAAGCGTTAATACTAGTGATTTCAGTTTCTTCTCGCTTCAGTATTTTCCTTTTTTTTTTTTTTCTACTTTGAAATCTTAATCTTTTATATCATTTAAAAAAAAAACCCCCTTTTGACTTTTGTTTTGTTTCTTTTTTATTTTTTCATAATTTAATCTATCTCGAATTAAACGAGGAAAAATTTTTCCTACGGTGTAGTGGATTTTCATACGAGAGTCACAGATTTATTAATTACTCGCGAATTAAAATAATATTATTTTAACAATGGTATGATGTGTGTGTGTGTGTGTGTAATTTATTTTTTTTCCTTTTTTTTTTTTCTTTTTCTTTTCTTTTCTTTTGCATATCTTACACGTTAAAATTATTCATCAACGAAACGTACGAATTATATATTTTATATTATTTTATATATATGAAAAATATAATTATTATATATATATAAACGTGATATATAATTAGTATTACATGTTATAAGACAAATTTTATTTCACTCGAGATAATTTATAATTAGTTCACGTAGTAACATACGTATTCGTAATTAAATACTATGAGAATAATGTTCGTTCGTTTAGATGAAGAAAATAATAGAAAAATAATTACGAAATAATGTAATAGTAATAAAAAAAACACAACTTGCACGAATTTTTCTACAAAAACAATAATGGAAATATATATGAGTTTCAAAGGGAAAATTGAAGACAGTTAATAAATTT